AAGGGAGAGAGTTGACCGGCCATATAAAATGAAATCCAATTTATTTCACCAACTCACAACTAGCTAGTTCATGCTCAAAGGCAAAGGACAAAAAAACAATACATAGAAAATTCGAAAGAGCAACAAATACAGATGATGACCAACGGCCACAAACCACCACCACCACCGCCACCTGCAGCGGCGGCGCCGCCAGACGTGGCAGTGCAGATGACGGGGGCAAAAGTGATGGTGGGGAACTGTCATGGTGTGGTTGAGGCAGCAGCGGCACCAGAATCTAGAGTCCGGAGGAGAGGTGAAGATGTGGTGTTCGTGTTATTGAGGCTGCTGTGCGTGGCGGCTTCCGTTACAGCGATGGCATCTATGGTAACAGCCCGTCAGGCTAGCACGGCCTCCGTCTATGGCTTCCAACTCCAGCTCAACTCCAAGTGGTCTTTCTCTTACTCCTTCGAGTAAGTCTTCTCCTTTTTGCTAATCCTTCTAGTTTTCAATATATTACATTACATGGCTATGTTTTTTAAAATCTCTTGTTTTCTCCGAGTCATTTAGATCGTTTGGTTGCTGAGAGTGAATCAGAACAATGTTGAGGCATTATTGTAGGGTAATTAGTGTATGCCACAGTGTGGTGATTTCATTTTAAATGGGTTGGTTTTGTCTTTTTATTTTAATAGTACCACTACATTTTCTCATCTACGAACATAATTTCGCTAACAGGGTGTAGGAGTGGTGGTTGTCCTCTGTTTACTGTATTTAGCCCATTTGGAGTAAATTTTGGGTAATTTTCCTTACCATAGGGTCAAGCGTGCTGTTCTTGACTAAATTAGGAGGGTGAAGTGGGTTTTTTTGATTGTTTGTCTGCTTTCTGGGCATTTCACTTTGGTGCTACTTTTGACTAACAACAACAAAGAATCATGACCCGTGAATGTTACACTGTTACTTTTTCTTTTTTTCCTACTTTTGTGCTGTAATTGAAAATAGGCCACCAAGTAAAGTTTGGATTTCACGGTTTCACACTGTAAAACTGGAATTATTGGACAAGGTACCTCGTGCCTGTGTTTATGGGCTGCTCTCATCTAATGGTTACCATCGTGTAGTCTAGATTATATAACAGCTTTTCAAAAGCTTCGACTAATTGGAACTTTTATTGAAGTGTTATTATATTCTAGTAAAATACTGTATTAAGAAATTATATATAATGCTTAACCATGTTTTTAAAAGTTGATTGATGGATTTCTTTCCCACAACAGTTCTTGCTAGAAAGTTATAAATATACACCTTTACTTAGAGCTCTAGAAGCTAATTAATAACAACTATTAAAAAGGCCAAAATCATTTCTGAGGAAATCATGTTTGTCTACTTTCAATTTTTGTAAGGGAGTTATGGGCTTTGCTCAGGACAACATATTCCTTTTGCAGGTATCTGGTCGGAGCTACCGCTGCTGCCGCTGCTTACTCCTTGCTGCAATTGCTCATTGGTGGTTCAAGACTGCTGACCATGTCTCCGGTGATCGCCTCAGGATACCAAGCTTGGATTCTCTTTGCCGGGGATCAGGTTAGCTCAAATCTCAAAACTTTTTAATGTCAACTTCTCAGTTAATTAAGATAAATTGGATCATGGTCTTCAGCTACTAGGCAGGCAGCAGTTCATTGACATATCTTCCATGTCACAGATTTTTGCATATGCAGTGATGAGTGCTGGCTCAGCCGCATCAGGGGTCTCTAACCTGAATCGCACTGGAATTAGACATACTGCCCTGCCAAATTTCTGCAAGGCTTTGGACATGTTCTGCGATCACATCACTATCTCTATAGTTTTCACCTTCTTCAGCTGCGTGCTGCTGGCTGCCTCTGCTGTTCAGGACGTATTTTGGCTTTCCAAGTACTGAATTTCAAGACTGTCTGGTTACTGGTCAAGCATTTTCAGGGCAGTTTAGCTATCTGTAAAGAGCTAGATGTATTGTGAAATTATTATAATGCCTTCAGTTTTAGTTTTCTTTCAGTGACAGACTTGTCCGAACTCTCTAGCTGGTCTTTAGTTATGGATCAAGCATGAACACTACTACTAGTTATGCATGCAAAAATTAACAATACGAGTCCTTGTAGACAAAAGGAACCAAAATACAGATATCATAAAGTTTCAGATTTAAGACAATCCAGTATAGTTGTGCAGTTTATCTTTATCATGATGAAAAATTCAAAGCAAAATGATTTAATATACAAATAAATTAAGCTGAATAAACCAAAACATGGCTCAAAAAATTGTCTTGTGAGGGAAAAGAACGTTCAAAATGAATTTTTTGTCTACCAATGCCAAAATGAATATTTAGAGTCTAATTTTTCTTCTAAGTGGACATCAAATTCACATCCAATTATTGAAGAACTTGCATCTGACAATCTGTGACTCGGAGGGAACATAAATTTGGAGTGTATATCCATCTCCATAGCTTCCAACATATTTACCACCCGTAATGTGAAGTTTCTTTAGTTTTTGACTAGAGATCTTCGATCTTTGTAGCTTGTGGCATGCAGAAATCCACAAATACTGTAGCAAGCTAAATTTGGAGATAAACTCATCAAACTCTTCATCTGCAATTTCTACACCATGCAACCATAGGTTGCTCACTCCTTAGGTCAAATGCAGTGCGATTAATGTTCCAGAAAAGTAATAAAAATTATAAAAAGTAACCGTGTGAGTTAAGGTGTTGATGCAAGTAGATTATGTAATCTTCAAAACATTTCTGGTTTGTATTTTTCCAAAACTTTTCATTTACTCCTCCTTTCTCTTTCACGTAACCAAAAGAGGCACCACCACTAATCTCTCATTCTAACAACATTCATCGAAATTCAGCTTC